ATAGCCAAATTGCTGTTTATTGCATTCAACCGGATCTGTACGAGGAATGAGGGTAGAAAAAAAACACAACAGAATGGGAAGAAGATGAGTGGCACCTACACCCTCGGCAATGAAGGTGACGAGGTAGGGCACGAGGGGCTGCAGACCCGTGTCTAGGGTAGCATTTTCCAGCGCATCTCGTCGACGAACCTCGTTGGCTCCGACGCAGGCTTCAGTGAGCTCTCGAAAATAGAGCATCAGCTCTTGACTGACTTCTTGCGGACGTCGCTAAGGGGAGAATGTACGATAAGAAGTGTGCAAGCTATAAAAAGATCCCGATTCATTCTCTAGTATTAGGAGGCTGAAAGCAGATTCAATATGAGTCATATTTATCAAACTAAGGGTTAAGATCGAATAGAAGCTACCTAGGTACTCCACTCGAAAGAATGGCTTGAAGAATGAAGGCACTTTATTAGTTAATTGCCACTTAGGTTGTTTATTAGGTATCAACTTTGCAAAGTAATAAAAATGCTACCAAGGATTTTCTCCTCGCCACTCAAGCAATAACTTTCCGATATTAGAATAACATTCTGAATAATCTGGCAACACAAAACACTGAATTTGGAAAACAGCCAAACACCTCGACGACAGCTACGTTGTATGGTAGTTCGTGTTTTGACGGTACTGGTGAGTCAACAACGCGAACTAGCGATTACAACTAGTACAAGTTATTTGACGTTCCCATTTATCCCACAGAGACTGGCTTATAAATGACAAACGACATGACCTATTAGTAGATAGTAAACTTCAGGCGAAATGGAAATAAATCCATAAACGAAATTGGAAATTACAGACATGAAAACATTCACTAGGCGGTGAAACCTAGTCGTTACCTCAACATGAAGAGCTTGCATAACCCGTGGATGAGAAGCTCGATCGTCTACCAGCTTGGTCTTATCTGTCTTCGTGTCATTAGGCACCTGTTGTGTATCGTCGATTTTTTGGGTAGGATTTTGAGCTGTACAGATCGCCTTCGGTGCCTGAGTACCTGAAAGTATTGTCATTCGACGCAGAAACTCTGGTGGTGGGTTCTGTGGTGAAGTCGGCTGAACCCCATCTATCGCCAACCAGTGCACTACCAAAGGGCATCGATAGTTTTGGGAAGGGAAAATCCAAATGACTAAGAACCATTAAAATGACAAACAACCCACCCACTAGACTAATATCATAAATCACAGGAGTGGGCTGCCGACGAAGAAGAGTCTTAATGTCCACCTCCTTGTCCTTTCGAATCAAGATCATTTTTCCGCCCACTCCGGGAGCAGCGTTGCGTCCGCTGGTTCTTACCGGAATAAGTTCACCGGTAGCTGCACCATATGGGATGTTCATACCCATTGCCAAAGCTGCAGAATCAATATCGGAGATGTGAGGGATACCGCGACGATTCTGTTCCATGTTACGAACGGCATTCTGCACAAGAGCAGTGGTGATTTGGTGAAGATGCTTTTGCAGTACGCTAATCCCTTCTCCAGAAAAGGGACTAACTGCGTTGATTTCAGCACAGGATTTAAAAAATTCGAGAGGAAAATCGAGATGTCTTGAAAATGAGGAACGGGAAGAGTGAACGGTATTACTAATGGGGTGCTTTTGGCCCTTAAGGGAGGATTTACCGGCCAGACGACTGTTGAGGAGGCGTTTTTTGTTCCCACAAGGATTGGAAACCTTACGAGAGAGCCGATTCAGCTTCTTTCTCTCTTCCAAAAACATGACACTAAAATTACGGAGTTAAGCATGCTTATAAATGGCGAGCCAAAATATCAAGAAGTTTTGAAACGCACGAAAGAGAATTGGAGAGCTTACCTGTATGAATAAAGAAATTTCAACGAATGATAAAGAGATAACTTAATTGACGAACCCAACCCCAAAATGCGAAAACTCACCGAGGCACCCAATCGAATTAGGCGCTCTAGGGCTGGTCAAAAAATAAAGGTGAAAATAAACTCGCTGCTAAAACAAGCATTATTATGGTTCTAATTTAAAAATAGTATCGGCTTGTTATGATGAATAGGTATGTCTAGGTGCGATTAATTAACATCTACAATGGGGATGAAGCCTATTGTGGATAAATGAGGATTCTAAAAGAGAATAGGGCCGCAAAATTAAGGATTAAGTGAGACATCTATCCAGCATGCAGCAGGCTTAATGCCTTGTGATTGGACCTTTATTTTATTTTTTGTTTATATGACAACCTGGGGTTTGGCAATAGCTGCGAGAATTGTTTGGTTCTTGTACTCGTGGGCTAGCTTTTGGGACATGCTTAAGAGTAGTCGCCTTGTTTCTTGGAGTACATGTATCCTGTCCCACTTACTGCCTTTTTTCATCGGGTGGGAAATCTCTCGGGACGCTAAACTAAGAGTCACGAGGATTATGAGAAGGCGGTCGCTTTATTAAGGTCTTCCTTCTGCCACGTGAGCTGGCCTTGGAGTTGGGACACAGACTTGCTCCTGTCATTTCTTTTTTTGGATATAAGCTTTTTGACATTCGATGCTCTTAATCACTGAATGAGGTATTTCGAGATCTCATAGTGATTGTTAGCACTATGGATGAATCCGGGAGACAACTATTGTACATATTGTGTTTAGAAGATCCTAGGTGGTTAGGAGATGGGAGTCAAACGTGAACGCGGTGCTTGAGGGGCGCGAGGTCTATTCTCCAAATCGCAGTGGTAGTGTCATTGCTTCCTTCCCATTCTTATTCTGCCTTTTTATTTTGTAAGGCTACTCATCTATCCACTTGGAATGCACGTAATGTAGGCCGAAATCCTGAGTCATTAAAGGTAACGAAGAAAGCTTGACTACTTTCGGAAGACATGGGAATTCAGCGAGGAGTATGTACGGCTTATAAGTGGTTTCTTGCAGCATTGTTTGGGCTGTGATATCTAGCAGGAATTTGAACAAAGAGAAGGATGACGATGACTGTAGCATTGTAGCACTTTTCATTTGTTAACAGAAAGCATAAGATCTGTCTTACTACTGAGGTTTTATATGAAAAGAGCAGAAGAAATCCTGGTGT